GGCCTTTCTCCAGTGTGAACTCTCTGGTGAGAATGAAGGACAGAACTAGTGGCAAAAGATTTCCCACATTCACTGCATTCATAAGGCCTTTCTCCTGTGTGAATTCTCTGGTGTTTAATCAGTGTTGACTTACACTTCAAAGATTTCCCACATTCATTACACTTATAAGGCTTTTCATCTGAGTGAACCTTTATGTGTACTTTGAGGATATTTCTTCGGATAAAGGACTTGCCACATTCACTGCACTCATAAGGCCTTTCTCCAGTATGAATTCTGTGATGATAATGGAGGTGAGTCCTACAGATAAAAGATTTCCCGCATTCACTGCACTCATAAGGCCTTTCTCCAGTGTGAATTCTTTGGTGTTTAATCAATGTGGACTTCCACTTAAAAGATTTCTCACATTCATTACACTTATAAGGCCTTTCACCTGAGTGAACCTTTATGTGTACTTTGAGACTATACCTTCGGACAAAGGACTTGCCACATTCACTGCACTCGTAGGGCCTTTCTGCAGTGTGAACTCTCTGGTGAGCACGGAGGATAGAACTAGTGGTAAAAGATTTCCCACAATCACTGCACTCATACGGTCTTAAGTCTGTGTGAGATCTCTGATGATAACAAAGGGCAGACATAGAGGGAAAAGATTTTGCACAGCCACAACATTTATAAAACCTTTCTCCAGGGCGAACCCTATGAGTAATCAACACTGATCTATGGATAAAAGATTTTGCACATCCACTGCAAACATAACTCTTCGTTCCATTGTGCCATCCCTGCGGATGAATAAGGACAGAGTTGTAGCCTACGGATTTCCCACATTTGCTGCACATGTATTGCCTGGATCCACTGTGAGTTTTACCATGTTCATTCAGGGCTGACCTTTGCCTAAGTGATTTTCCATATTTGCCAAACTCATAATGTCTTTTTCCAATATGGTATCTCTGGTGTATGGCAAATAAGGATTTGTACCTGAATGCTTTCCCGCATTCACTGCACACAAAGGACTGTCTACCTAGGTGGACACCCTGGTCCTGAATATGTGTGTGTTTGGGACCAAAGGCGTTCTTGCATTCTCCCCAGGTGTCATGACTTTTTCTGCTTTGTAAAGTTGCCCTGCACTGGGTGATCGTGTGTGGCTTCTCCCCAGTATGAGTGGCCTCTTGCTGCAGATGCCCCAAGCCAGACAGGAAATCCTTCTGAACTTCTCCACAGGTAAGGGGCTTTCCTGAACCATGGAATCCCCAGCTCTTCACAACAGAGGCCCTGTCCACACGGCTTCTGAAGGGTTTCTCTCCCATGTGCTGTTTCTCATGTTTTCTGAAGTCAGTAATGAAATAAAATCGTTTCCCACAGGCCCCACACCTCAACAGTTTCTGGCTGTTTTCTTTTCCCTGGTGCGCAGCCAAGTGGAAAATGTCTCTCAAGACTGGACCACACATCTCACAAGGGTGGGTCTTCCGGGAAGACTGAGCTGCCTTGGGCATCCTGGTCTGTGACACGCCTACAGAAGCGCTCTGGGCAAAGGGTGCCTCCTCATCCTCTGCTCCACAGCAACAACCTGAAGGCAAAGAAGCGCTGGTGAAATTTGTGTTGACAATAGTGAAGGGGTGAGCCCATCACATAATATACATGGGTCTCACCTAGGCATGCCTTTCCAGACACTGGAGATGGAAAACAGCTGGAGTGGTTGCTGTGCATTATTGGGCCCTGATAGTCAAAGTAATGTGGAGAGCTCACTAGAAGAATGGGAAACTAGGGTATGACAGAAGGAAGAGAGCCAGGTTGAAACCTTACTTCTCTTCCCACAAGTTAGCGTAGGACCAATTCTGCTGGTGATATCTGTCTAAGTACAAGGCTGCAGGAAAATTCAATCCCCATAAATTTGCTGCTGTTCAATGTCAGTTTAAGGACATATGAATGGGGCGCTTGGGTATGTCAGTCGGTTAAGCATCTCCCTTCAGCTCAGGTCTTGATCCCAAGGTCCTGGGATTGAGCCCCTTATCTGGCTCCCTGCTCAGAGGGGAGTCTAATTCTCCCTCTCTCTCTGCCACTCCCCTTGCTCATTCCCTCTCTCTCAAATAAATACATAAAATCTTTTTTAAAAACTTAAAAAAAAAAAGACATGTGAGTATCTCATGGTAAAACGTTTGGGGGTGAATGGAGTACACAGAAAGAGCAGTGACAGTAAGAGGTGAGATATGGAGGCCTGAGAAGCACTGATTACCCTTATATTGGATGTCATGGAATTACCAATGAAACAGAACCCAGAATTCACAAATTGTCAACAGTGAAGAAGGAAAGACAGACAGGGTGTGGCCATCAGCAATCACACCAAACTCTGGTAGAAGAAACAAAGGTGCCTGGTATGATCTGAACACAGGTCTGATATCACACCTTCCCCAGGTTCTATTCACCAGAAACAGAGCCTCTGTGAGCCCACCTAGTCACGTTGGATCATGTCTGTGCTATGACACACAAAGGACTCCTCCCTGTAAGCCCTACGCAACAAACACAAGATACCAGGAAGATAGAAATACTGAAGGAAAACAGGGCACGTGGACAACCAAACTGTCCCAGAGCTACTCAGGAGAGCAGACACAGAAAAACATCCTATGTGACTGATGGCAGCAGGATGGGAGAATAGGAGATACCATCCTTCACGGCAACAAAAATCAATGCAACAGCTGTCTATGAACGGCATTACCTCAGCGAGCTCAACAGTGCCATTAAGACTAAGTAGGCACAGTGGAGCATAAAGAAGGGCACAAGCACGCAGGAAAGATAGCTGGAGCCTGCTGTAGCAGAGACTGTGGGGTAGGTGGGAAACAAGGGCTGGGGCTACCTCCATCAGCCACAGGGCGCGTGCTCCTGCAGTCCCTGCTCAGCACAGACTCCGGCTGCCGGCTCCACAGGGGACACTGGCACCCCTGCCACCAAGTCAACCAAAGGCCAAAGCCAAAGCAATAGTGAGAGAGATCAAAGCTGAAGGCAGCACATTTATGATTTCAAACTAATTACAAAGCTATAGTATTCAAAACAACAGGGTACTAATAATCCTAGGGCAATAGAATAAAGAGCCCAAAAGTAAATGCACATATATATAGTGAACTCATCTTTGAAAATTATGCCAAAAATCTACACTAGGGAAGAATAATCTCTTTAATAATGTTGTGCAATCTATGGGGAGCTCGGGGGTCACATTTGGTTGAGCTTCGACTCCTGGTTTCAGCTCAGACAGTGATCTCAGGGTCATGAGAGCAATCTCCACATCTTTCAGCTTAGAGCCTGCTTGGGACTGTCTATCTCCCACTCCCTCTGCCCCTCCCCACCATTGTCTGTGTCTCTCTCTAAAATAAATAATTAAAATTTTTTTTTCTTTTCTATATACTTTTTTTTTTTGGCTAGAACATTTTTTTTATTATGTTATGTTAATCACCCTACATTACAACATTAATTTTTGATGTAGTGTTCCACGATTCATTGTTTGCGTATAACACCCAGTGCTCCATGCAGTACGTGCCCTCTTTAATACCCATCACCAGGCTAACCCATCCCCCCACCCAGTAATTAAATGTTTAAAATACTGTTGTGAAGGGCACCAGGGTGGCTTGACTGTTGAGCATATGACTCCTGGTTTCAGCTCAGGTCATGAACTAAGTGTTCTGAGATGGAGCCAGCATCGGACTCCACGCGCAGTGCGGAGTCTGCTTTAGATTCATTTTCCCTCTCCCTCAGCCCCTCCCTGCTTGCTCTCTCTCTCAAATAAATAAATAAATCTTTAAAAAAAATAATAACAATAAAATACTGCTGTGAAATCTAAATATCCAAATGAAAAAACAATGAAACTTGATCCTCATCCTATAGCACACATGGAAATGAAGTTGAAATTGAATCAATACTTAAACATATGACCTTTAACCCGAAAACTCCTAGGAAAACATAGGGAAAAGCCTCCTTAACCTTATTCCTGCCAATGATTTTTTGAATATGACATCTAAAGCATACACAACAGAAGCTAAAAACTACAAGTACTACCATACCAAATTGAAAAGCTGCACCAGGGCCAATGAAACACACAAGAGAGTGAAAAGGATGTACAAGTGACTAACGTGTTGTCACAATCACGAATCATCAGGAAATAAAAACCAAAACCACGGGCGCTGGGTGACTCAGTCGGTTAAGCGTCTATGTTGGGCTCAGGTCATGATCTCAGGGTCCTGGGATCGAGTCCCATGTCAGGCTCCCTGCTCAGCTGGGAATCTGCTTCTCCCTCTCCCTCTGCCCCTCCTCCCCACTCGTGCTCTCTCTCTCTCAAATAATAAAAATCTTAAAAAAACAAAACAAAAACACATAACCACAAGATATCACCTCCTACCTGTCACAATGGCTATTACCAAAAAGACAAGAGGTAACACGTTGATTAGGATGTGCAGGAAAAATAACATTTGAATACTGCTGCTGGGCATGTAAATAGGTAAGTGATTATGGAAAATATTAGGGATACCCACCAAAAATTGAAAATACAACTATCATATAGTCCACCACTGCTATTTCTAGGTATGTATCACAAGGAAACAAAATCAGTATCTCCACAAAGTATCTGAACACGAATATCTACTGCAGTATTATTCACAATAGCAAATATATGGAAACATCGGTAGGTGTGTATGAGTGTTTAAAATGACAAAGAAGGGACGTCTGACTGGCTAAGTTGGTAGCGCATCCAACTCTTGATCTCAGGGTGGTGAGTTGAAGCCCCACATTGGGTATGGAGTCTATGAAAAAAATAAAAATAAAAAAATAAATTGTGTCAAATGAATAAATAAATAAAGAGACAAAGAACAATTACTACACACACACATACAGGAATATTCAGCCATAAAAAAAGGAAGCAACACTGCCACTTCCCACAGAAGAACCTGGAAAACCTTATGTAGAGTCAAAACAGCCACACAGCAAAATGCAAACTTTGTATGGTATCACTTACATGAGGATTCCTTAAAAAAGATATAAATCAAACTCATAGATACAGAGAGTAGAAAGCCAGAAGCTCAGGATTGAGGGAAATGGGAAGATGTTGGTTAGGGGTACACGCTCACTTTCACATACAGGATGAGTAAGTTCTGACAATCTAATGTACAGGAGGTTGATTACAGTTGTTAATATCGTATTCTACACTTGAAATTTGCGAACAGGGTAGATATTAAGTTTTTGAACCACCACCAACAAAAAAGGTAATTATGTCAAGTGATGGTGTGCTGTAACTTCACGTTTTT